GCCAATTGAGTGATATTTTTAAGAGCTTTTTCTTATACCGGTACAGAATCAGCCTAGGATCAGATAAGATATTGCATTTAGTTGTCATATTATTTTGGCTTTCTTTCATCTAGAATAGTCTTTTATCATATTGACATTTTTGAAGGGTAGACTACCCACTACTATCTCTTACCTATCAATTATTGCCTATTATAGACTTATGAATTACTATTTTTTCCCCAGAAGCTTATAATTATTACTGTGCATAATTTGGTACTTAGTGTCCCATACTTGGCCAGTTAGGAGCCCCTTTAAGCTGGCCTCTAGAGTGTCCTATACACCTTCATTTTGTTTTAAGAAAAAAAGTGTGAAAGAACTCTTGTCTCAGGTATAACAAGTTGCTTATGGTCTTACCTGTGTATGTCCAGCCCAACCCTGGAATCAACTGTTTCTCTGAGAACTCTGGGTTTCTGTTAGTGGGGAATGGTATTAGAAGCCAAAATCTGGATGCTATGTGTTCTCATTGTCATGGGGTCTCTGTTCTAAGCAATCCCTTTCAGCAGACAGAGCTAGAAGATACATGTGTGTATATACACATAAACATACATACATAGGCTATACATATTTGCATGATATGGACATTCCTGTATATATGATATTTTAGCTATTTTGAGCCAGTGACCTTCAAATCCAATGAGTCTTTTTTGACATTCAGTGTCTGTAAAGTAATATGCAGGCCTTAAAGTAAGCATAGTTCTGGTCACCATAAGAAGACTCTTAACAGTGGCTTTAGAAATGGGCATGTTGGGTAGCACCTGTGGCTCAGTGAGTAGGGCACTGGCCCCATATGCCAGAGGTGGTGGGTTCAAACTCAGCCTTGGCCAAAAACGGCAAAAAAAAAAAAAAGGGAGGCATGTTGGGCAGTGCCTGTGGCTTAGTGGGTAGGGTGCCAGCCCCATATACCGAGGGTGGTGGGTTCAAACCTGACCCTGGCCAAACTGCAACAAAAAAATAGCGAGACATTGTGGCAGGTGCATGTAGTCCCAGCTACTTGTGAGGTTGAGGCAAGAGAATCGCTTAGTCCCAGAAGTTGGAGGTTCCCGTGAGTGGTGTGACACCACGGCACTGTACTGAGGGCGATAAAGTAAGACTCTACCTCTACAAAAAAAGAAATGGGCATGTTGTTCTTTGAAAAAGATTTCTAATAGAGAAAAGTCTACTTCCCATATACTTTATTCTCATGTTCTCCATCCCAGCCTGCCCTGCCTTAGCCATTGGCCTCAGCCTTTGTTACTTCTTGACCCATCCCATTCAGAGGAAGAGAAATAAAGGTAGAATTAAATTGTGATGTGACTCAGATCACCTGGAAATTTTCCTGTCTGTGATAAACTGACATGCTTTGTGATTCATCCTCATTAACTAAAGGTATTTTGTTCATTTATAACTTGGGACTAATTACATGGGGCTGGGGTACCCAACTTTTTTTTTTTTGAGATAGAATCTCAAGCTGTTGCCCTGGGTAGAGTGCCGTGGCATCACAGTTCACATGGGCTTAAGCGACCACAGGTGCCCGCCACAACACCTGGCTACTTTCTGGCTGTAGTTGTCATTGTTTGGTGGGCCCGGGCTGGATTCAAACCTGCCAGCTCCAGTATATGTGGCTGGCACCTTAGCCGCTTGAGCCACGGCATACCCAACTTTTATCTATCAAAATATGATTTCTGATTTCCCCCAAATCCTGTTATTTCTAGAGATTATTATGTAGACAATAAGAGGTAGAGAATGTTGATGAAAATTTAAGCTACTAGGCTGGATGTGGTGGCTCACACCTGTAATTCTGGGAGACTGAGACAGGTGTATTGCTTGAGCTCATGAGTTTGAAACCAGCCAGAGCAATAGTAAGACCCCGTCTTTAAAAATTGCTGGAGGTTGTGATGGGCACTTGTAGTCCCAGCTACTTGAGAGGCTAAGACAAGAGAATCTCAAGCTTAAGAGTTTGAGGTTGCTATGGGCTATGATGCCATGGCATTCTACCCAGGGTGACAAAGTGAGACTGTCTCAAAAAAAAAAAAAAGAAAGAAATTTAAGGTACTAATAGGGGTAAATGGTAACTGAGTTTTTTGTCCTCAGATCACCTTTTCCTCCCCTCCACTTAATACCCTTGCCTTCAACCACTCCTTAAAAGACCAGCCATCACTCAGCCTCAGGTAGTGACTTACCAAACAAAGCTCTGAGAGCAGTTGGTAGAGTCTTCAGAAGTATTCTCAGAGATATTTCACCAAAAGATGTTTTCCCTTCTTTGGGGGTCCTACAGATCTATCTTCGAAGGCAGCAAGCACACCAAAGAAGAAAGCTGTTGTCCAGGCTAAGTTGACAACCACTGGCCAGGTAACTTCTCCAGTGAAAGGTGCTTCATTTGTTACCAGTACCAATCCCCGGAAATTTTCTGGCTTTTCAGGTAAGATAGGGCTACGTTAGCTATTATGGTGCTCCTTTAATTTGGTATCCTATTTAGGGCTCTGGTAAAGAGTGAAAATTCTGTGTTGTCTCTTAATTTGCTTCTCTCTGAGCAGAGACAGGTAATAGCTAATTCTCACCACTCCACTTACATGGCATTTCTTTGTATACTTTAATCTCTTGTATAGCAGAAAGATGCTTGTCAAGACTATCCCCTTGGAGTAGTAACAAGTAAAAATCTCTTGAGTCGGCTTGGCGCCTATAGCTCAACCGGCTAAGGCGCCAGCCACGTACACCTAAGGTGGCAGGTTCGAATCCCCAGCCCGGGCCGCCAAACAACAATGACAGCTGCAACCAAAAAAAAAAAAAAAAAATAGCCGGGCGTTGTGGCAGGCGCCTGTGGTCCTAGCTACTTGGGAGGCAGAGGCAGGAGACTCGCTTGAGCCCAGGAGTTGGAGGTTGCTGTGAGCTGTAATGCCATGGCACTCTACCCAGGGGGATAGCTTGAGGCTCTGTCTCAAAAAAAAAAAAAAATCTCTTGAGTCAGATTTTATTTATTTATTTTTGAGATAGAGTCTCGCATTGTCACCCTTGGTAGAGCCATGGCATACTAGCTCACAGCAAACTCAAACTCTTGGGCTCAAGTGATTCTTTTGCCTCAGCCTCCCAAGTATCTGGAACTACAGGCGCCTGCCACAATGCCCAGCTATTTTTTAGAGACAGGATCTCACTCTTGCTCTTTTTTTAGAGACAGGATCTCACTCTTGCTCAAGCTGGTCTCAAACCTGTGAACTCAGGCAATCCACCTGCCTCGGCCTCCCAAGTGCTAGGATTACAGGCATGAGGCATGGTGCCTGGCCCCTTGTGTTTTGCTAATGAAAGAATTTTGAGAAATTACATCCCTAAACTTGCCGGGACTGGAGCTGAAAGTATTGAAGAAGGGAGAGGTCATGCATGGATTTCTCTTCTTAGTTCTTACAACTATTTGTTCAAAGCATTGGAACATTTGTGGAACACAGGGAAGGTAGGAAAAAGGGATCTGGACACGGAGCCTGTAGCTCAGGCGGCTAGGGTGCCAGCCACATACACCAGAGCTGATGGGTTCCAGCCCAGCCCGGGCCCTCCAAACAACAATGATGGCTGCACCCAAAAAATAGCTGTGAACTGTGGCGGGTGCCTGTGGTCCCAGCTGCTTGGGAGACTGAGGCAAGAGAATCACTTAAGCCCAGGAGTTGGAGGCTGCTGTGAGCTGTGATACCACGGAACCCTGCCCAAGGTGACAGCTTGAGGCTCTGTCTCAAAAAAAAAAAGGGGGGGGGGATTCTGAAACGTGTTGCTGTTTATTGGGAGACAGCACAGTCTAGTGATGAATCTCATCTCCTATAGGAGTGGATCATAGCATAGTATATTGGCAGGATGCACAAGCAGTGAAGTATTAAGTTTCCTTTTCGTCATGATATATATACACACATACATGGTTTCTTTTATATAAAATATACAATTACTATTTCACATAGAAGAATTATTGTTTCAGAAAATGTTTATTAGGGTATGGGGTAAAGACGGGAGTTGAGAAGGTCAGGATCATTTTTTGGCCTTTTTTAATAGATAGCATTGGCATGGTCTCAGCCTAGCTCACAGCAACTAGGCTCAAACTCATGGGCTCAAGCAATCCTTCTTCCTCAGACTCCTGGGTAGCTGGGGCTACAGGTACCCACCACCACACCCAGCTGATTTTTTGTATTTTTAGTAGAGACAAAGTCTCACTTTGCTTAGGCTAATCTCAAACTCCTGACTTCCCGCAATCCTTGCACCTTGGCCTCCTGGAGTGCTACAATTACAGATGTGAACCACAGCACCTGGCCTCATGAGGCTTATTTTTATGAATGAGAAAGTTGAAGTTCCAGTTCATTATGGGGTTAGTATTTGCACTGAAGTCTGACTCCAACATCTAGGCTCTTTTATCCTACAATCTGTTGCCTCTTTTATTGTTTGGAGACATTCTTATGATTGATTCGGTTGAAGAAAATAAATAGAGCCAAAGTGCTTGAACTCAGAAGTTGTTTGAGAATTGAAGAAGCTTTATGTGTTTGAAATAAGCCTAGACCCAGGTCAGAAGACTTGGTTTCTGGTCCCAGCACTATTCCTGGACAGATCAGAGCCCTGAACGAGTCTTCACCTCTCTGAATCTCTGTGGCCTTGTTTATAAAGCAGAAGTGACTTCTGCTACTTGAGTGATATGCACAGGCTACTGTAAAGCATAGACAGCCATATCCAGGTGTCTTTTAGTCTCTGCTGCTTTGACTTTATGTATTTATTTGTTCAAGTTGCATTTATTTTTCTGTGCCTCATCTATTCCACAGTGTTCTCACAAGGACAATAGGAGATAACATTGCAAAAACAGTGCCTGGCTCTAAAGGATTTGTATTATTTTTTTTTTTTTTTTGAGACAGAGTTTCACTTTATCGCCCTCAGTAGAGTGCTGTGGCATCACAGCTCACAACAACCTCCAATTCCTGGGCTTGGGTGATTCTCTTG